AAATCTGTAAATGTCCAGCCAGCACCCGGAGCAACACACTTCATCAAACCTGACAGTGCTTGAGAGGAATCAGAGAAGATTCTCAAATCCAGGTGTGCCTAGCTTGTAGAATCATAGCCAAAATGACTTGAGGCTAATCACTGCCAAGGTTGCTTTAATTTATTTGAATACTATGAATTAGTGTTTATTTTTGTAGATTCATGAGATAAAAAGACAAAAGCTCCAGAGCCACCATTTCTGAACTGATGACTGAATGTATTGAGGCTTTAATTAGATTCTATAATCACATACCTCAACTGTTATGTCATTACTGATAATGCCATAGGGAAGACCAATCAAATTATATCCTAATATCCTAATGGTGATTTCCTTAAATAAGAACAGCTGTCATGTCAGGTAAACTAGGCATGCCTGGTCTTGTTTTCACAGAGAAGAAGACTCATGGATAATTCTCATTTGAAGATGGAAGTTTTACACACTGACTGCAGCAGTGATGACAAAAAAATATGTACTGGTGCTCTAAAAAAGAAGACAACACTTATTTAAATATCTAAGCTAATATGCTGTAATTCATTTTTTGCAAACAAGAATGCAGTAATGATATACAAAGATTTTCATATGATTAGATAAAACTCTTCTCAACCATACACCTTTACGAAGTCATCAAAATGACATGGAACAAACAAAAATGACAAATATGACAAAAGAGAAAAACACCAATTTATTGCTCTAGATATTTACAGTTGGTGTTTTCAGAGAACCATTTCAGCAACTGAAGCTGCTTGTTGATGTTTTCTGTAGCATGTTCAGTATGCCGAAAAGAGACATATATTCACAAGGTTAACTTCCCAACAGTGAGTAAAGCAAAACTGAACACAAGTAGAAGCATGAGACAAACAGAACCAAAAGTGAATATTCGTTTCATTTAAATGAGAGTTGCTCACTTAAATGAGATTCCCAAACGGCCTCATCATAGCTCAAGCACTTTAGCTGGCAACTTGTTATACAATATCTCTCAACATCAAACCAAGCACTATAACTTATACAGTTTACATACATTTAAATTAGGGGTGTGACAATATATCATTATGAAGGTATACCATGATAAAAATCTGTGTTTTTGATGTCATTATGCTACGTTGGTAAAGATGTCACAATATAAAAATTAAGTTTGAAAAAATATAAAATGAAATCCTTACGTATGTTTTCACCTCTTGAACTTTTCCACATTTTGTAGCGCTGCAACCTTAAGCACTTATTTGTGGTTAAATTTCATGAATCTACAAAAATAGCCCATAATATCAAAGTGACGAGAAAAAGATCAAAATACTAATAATTGCAAAATTATTTACAAAATAAAAACGTAAAGCTTGTGATTGCATAAGAATTCACTCCCATTACCGTGAAACTCCCTAAATGTGTTGTTATAGAAAGTGACGTGGTTACAGCACCAATTTTTTTTAGCGTGCTAATGAAGAATTATATCATTAACACATTTTGTCAGGATCTGAGTATCTAAATTAATTTGGTGGGCTGGATTAGAACCTTTATTAGGCCAGTCCCAGCCCACTGGATGCACATTTGACACTCTTAATATAGCTGTATGCTGTAATGTTATATTTTTATACCATTCCACCCCTAATTTAAACAAAGAATTTCAAATGTGTGTATGTAGATATCCCATAATACAATATACCGCTTGACATGTTCAAAAGACAACAACTTTCACAGTTTGAGTTGTTTATATAAGAAACGTCTTCAGAAATGTTCACATTTCATGTATGCATAGAATTTGAGTTTCTTAAATTCAATATAAGAAAATCATATAGACATACAGCTTTGTACTGAAATGTCTAATGAACCAGCGTGCATTAATACATGCAGTGTGTGTATACACAGTCTCATGTAAAACCAGCAGTTCCCAATCCCAGTCCTGGAGAACCTAAGAAGTACACATTTCCTACACTAAAACACGTGACACATATGTGCATATGTCTGTGTGTATGTTCTCTCAGATTGGTATGGAGAACTGCTGAAGCCATTCAGCTGTTCATAAAGCTCTGTATGAAACATGACTGCATGATGTTAAAGTGAGAGCTGGACCAAAATGAAATCTACATTTCAATTTCCATCAGCGGAGACATGTTTGGGTTTTGTCTGCAGCTACGAGGCTAATGGGACACTTATACTTGTTTAGACTTGTGTGTTTTCTGACACAATGACATTCTGATATCTATGAAAATATTAATAGTAATAAGCACACAGTGGTATCACTACACCCAAAGTTTGAAGGCCAGATTGGTTAGATATGATTATTTAATTAGAATTTGATTTGTTTTTTTTCTAATGCAGACTTTTGCTATTTTTAAAAATCTGTAGCATTAACAAGCCAAGCTATTTCTTTTGAGGAGAGTGTGAAGCATGAAAAGTCTTGGCTATATTTGAGGTTAGGGGAACAGTGTGTAGCTTTCATTTTTGGCCAAACTATCCCTTTAAACCTGGCCAGCTCAAAGCCACTGTAGCCCTACAGTGTAACACTCTCACTACAACATGTTCCAGTTTTTAAGCTCCGAGCTTCTAAAACCTTCCAAAGTCACTACTACTTTAGCCAGACTTCTACCTTCTACCATCATGAAGCTTATCTTCTTAATAGCAAGGTCTGTATCATCACAGTCCAGGCTCTGGCTAACCCAGATGTTCTGGTTGGCTCAGTTTTAATTTTATGTTTTTCTGTTTTGTGTGCATAATCATCAGGAAAAAAGTTAATTATTTTTTAAAAATGTAGTTTATATTACAGAAATGATGTTAAAATGTTTAAACCAAAAAAAAAAAAAACCACTCGTCATCTTGCAATCATGAGGATCCCCGAACATATCCCCCATTAAAATCTTGCTAATAATCAACTCAAACATATAATGTTCGGTCAAAGGAACAGAACATTGCCTAAAGGTATCGAACAGTTTATGAGGTTTAGTGCAAAGCCACTGTATCCCAGTAAAGAGCAGGGTGTTACGTCCTCATTACTCTTCCTTAGCCTGAAGCCTGTACTCAAACCAGAAATCTTCTGAAACCTCAAAGTCTCATCCAATCCCCTTTAATCTCTGCAGCCCTTGTGCTTAAACCAAGCCTGTATAAACTAAAGTACAAAGGCAGTACATCAGCATGCAGTGGCTAATACCTTCCTTCCTCTAGAAGGCGCCCTATACACCACTGCATGCTCCATCCCTCTGCATTTACCCAGAGGACCAGCCCCCATTGCACCCAACACACGTGCCGGCTGCTCGAGTGTGTGCTCCATACCTTTAGTGTGTTGTGTGAGCTGATGCTCCTCCGGCGGCCTTCCTCCAGCTGCATCTCGCAGTAGAGCTCCTCCTCGTCCTCCTCCATGATGTCGGACAGATCCGAACCTCGGCTGCTCTCCGTGTAGTACTCCTCGCTGTGGGAGTAGTGGTGGTGCTGGAGAAAGAGAGAGAGAGAGAGAGAGAGAGTGTAAACAAAATATTGGTGGGGAGGAAGAGGAGAGGAGATGAGGAAAAGAGAGAGAAAGAAATCGAGTAAAGAGAGAGAGAAAGATTTGAGAAAGAAGGTGGAAGAACAAATACAAGAAAGAATAAACAGAATACAAAAACCAGCGAGAAAGAGAGAGGCTTTAATGTGAAAATCCCATTTTCACTGAACATGAAAACCTCTAGAGAAATACATTCCAAGACAATAAATTATATCATAAACTACATCATATTATCATAAATTATAGTATATATTACTTAACTATGTGTATTATATTCCCTCATACTACAGCACTGTTGAATTCTTGATTCTGATTCATCAGAAGGTGTTGATTAATGTTCTATAACAGCAGCTCTGACAGTAGTGCAGCTGCAAATCTTATATTAACACGCTCATTCTGATACTTTATCTATATACGAAACCTATAATAACAACTTCATAAGATCTTGTATGACAGACACTCCACATTAACAGATTCCACATGATTCCACTCCACATTAACAGATTTTTAAAAAAAAGTTTTCTGTGAGGAGACGCTCATTTAACATTGTTGGAAGGAGTCTCCAGTGTCAGTGCTTTGTGTTAACGTAATGCACCTCTATTTTACTGAAAATCTTTTCTGTAAGTATCTACCAAAATTTAGGGCTAGGTTAAATACATTCCCCCAGCTTGCATCTGATTGTCCAAGATGGCTGCCCCCATAAGTTTACAGCAGTCAGTTACATAGTGTTGTAGTGTCATAGTTTTGTAGTTCATGTTTATAGATTACAGTGTATTAAACCACATCAGCAAGTCTGTGAGGCTTTACTGAAGAAGTGTAAAGGGCTAAAATTCTGTAAAATATCCTACATGTCCTTTGTCCTACATGTCCTACGTCTTACATGTCTGCTCAGTTCAGAGCCCCTGAGAAAGTCATCCACCGAGGCTCCTCTCCGCCTGGTGTGGGGCGAGTCGTAAACATCGTCCTCCTCGTCGGAGTGAGGAGTATTATTCCTCTCACTGAAGATGTTCCTTCTCTCCGGCTGAAACACACACACACATTAGTAATAATACATCACAACACATATAAGGCATTATGGCAGTCCATGAGGACTATGGTCACCATATTGAATCTTGACAGTGAAGGACTTATAGACAGGCCTGAGTGCTATTATTAACTCATTCCTTTTCCTTTTCAGAGCTACATTAAAGCCTTTAAGCTGGTGTGTAAGCAGCAGACAGACAATATCAATCACATTCATCAGGACTGGCTTCTTCCTGATAGTCAGAAGAAGCTCTGAGGTACTGTGATGTTCAGATTAGAGTCAATAAAATTCTTCTGAATAAGATTGTGATGCAACCTATCACAGCAGATCAACTTCCATTGTCCGCATATTGATTTGGCAAAGGTTTTACACCAGGTGCCCTTTCTGACGCAACCCTCCCCATTTTTCCAGGCTTGGGACTGGCACTGAGAGTGTACTAGCCTGCACACCTCCAGTGGCTGGGGTTGGCACCCAGCGTGGGGCTCAAACCCATGGTTCTGAGATCAAGAGGCCCATTCTCTACCAACTGAGCCAGCTGGGTACCTACAAACTCCCTCGTCAATGATGGAAAGTTCAGTAGTGACTTGTGCTCAGGATTTAGCCTGATATCTCTAGGAAAAAAACTGCACAATTTTACACACAAAAATGTATAATTCTATCCCTCAATCAGGAAGTTAGGGCTGAATAAATATATCCTGCTTTATGACACATTTAATGACTTGGTGGTTGTTTTAAAATGTTCTCTTCCTTTATGTCATACATTAACTGCATATATACTACATATACACTGTATATCACATTCATCTAAAGTAATATGTCAGGTCAGGAAGCAAACATTTTATTAAGCTATTTATGATCCTAATTACTACTGTGATAAAACAAGTAAATTATATTTGTAACAGCAGTTGGGTCAGATTCAGATCCTCACATTCACCTTGTGGTTGGTGCCGTGTCTCTGGGCCGCCTGCCTCGCCATGGCACGTGCCACCGTGTTGGAGATTGGCGTTCCCTGAGGCTGGGGCAGGATCCTCTGGGCCACATGCGGTGGTGGTGCTGGCGGCTCCAGTCCAGGACCCCCGGCGGTTGGGGGTGGCAGGGGCGATGGGGCTCGTTGGTGAGGCTCCCATGGCTGGGACTGCCTCCTGCCTGCCTCTGGCTCTTTGGCGTGGGCATCTCGGGCACTTGGGAGGAGTTTGGGTTTGGGGAACGGCTGAGCAGAGGGTGGAGGGTGGATTTGGGGTTGAGGGTGAGGAGGAGGTGGCTGTGTGTGTGGCGTTGGTGTTGGCGGTGGTTGTGGTTGTGGGTGGGGGAAGCTCTGTGGGTAGTTTGGGGGAAAGGGGGATGGGTGAGGGTGCGACTGGGGTGGAGGCGGCAGTAGGTTGTGTGGGATAGAGGCAGCGTTGGAATCTTGCGACTCGCCTTGAGCTGAGATGGTGCGTACGACAACTTCACGTGCTTCCAGACACTGGATACGATTCAGTTCCACTGTCACGTATTCCGCCGTGGGGAACATCACCTCTGCGATCTATTGCACACAAAACACAAAGATGTTTATTTTTACAATATATAGTTCACAGATTGGATGCAAACCGACAGAATGACAGTAGAGCTCCAATCATTGAGAGACTGCAGTACACACTTCTTTATACAGTACAGTCCCTGTAGAGTGTAAGGTCACTGCAAATCAGTAGTTCTTTATAAAAAAAAAAAATTCTTTATAATTCTGACTGATCACCTTCATCCTGATTCATTTTTTGTTCCTTAAATCAAGGAGATGACCTGCCTGATCCATCCTGCTGCCCTACTTCTGGGATGGTGCCACTTGGGGGCCATTGCTATGGCTTGGGGATCTGATATAGGGAGTTGTACTGTGCTGGCTTGGGACTGCGATTGCTGTGGTGGCTTTGGGGCTGAGGTTGCCACGAGCAGCTTTGTACTCAGGACTCCATCAGTGGACAGTGGATAGGTTTAACAAACCGGACTTTTTGTGAAAACTGTGATGAATTTACTGGTTGCATAATTGCAATATGTAAATATATTTGTCCATATAGTACACAGTTACAGAAGGGAATTATTTATAATTGCACTATCTGTTAGCACCCATATGAGGATGGGTTCCCTTTTGAGTCTGGTTCCTCTCAAGGTTTCTTCCTCATATCGTCTTAGGGAGTTTTTCCTCGCTACCGTCACCACTGTCTTGCTCATTGGGGATAAATTCACATATTTACAATTTATTTTGGTTTAACTTAATTTGATCTATTTATTTCTGTAAAGCTGCTTTGTGACAATGTCCATTGTTAAAAGCGCTATACAAATAAAATTGAATTGAATTGAATCAAATATATATCTATATTTTATAAAAACTGTATAAAAATATACACACAGATATGTGCTATGCTACTTATCCCTCAGCAGATGGTGACAGAGAGCAACGTTAGCCTATGAGATGCTCTTCAACCAACATAAATACACAAAATTTTGCATGTAATTGATATCAGATCATAAGTGATAGATACAGGATACAGTGGAGACTCATTACTAACACATGGAGCTGATGCTGGTAATGCACTTATCCCATGTACTGACCTTTTGACCTTTGGTGCAGACCACGTAGCCCATGACGTTGGCGCCGTTGGAGGTGCCGCTTGGTGTGAGAGGAGGGGGCTTCCAGCGCACCTGCAGCACCCCCGGCGATGTCCCACAATGCACCTGGACGTCTTGCGGAGGGAATGGCGGACCTGGAGGAGAGCACAGCAAAAGGAAACACTCTGATTGGCTGTGCTGTAACCGAACAGAGCTGAAGGATTCAAAATGCAATTCTAGTCTGTACCTCATTAACAAAAATGGCTGTGAAGACTGATTGATATTCAGAACCACAGAGTGAAAAATGTACCAGGATGGAGATATAACTGTTCTTTTTTTTTTTAATTTGCTAGTCACCGGTTATATCTCTGATTTTATCCAAAAAGGTTTTTTTGAATAGATGCGGCTATATAATCATGGAAAATAAGATAGAAGGGTAATCATGCTTTAATTCTCAGTCAGGTCAAGTATTTTTAGAGCTTATTGCACAGTACAGGCTGTGCTTCAACTAAAAGCACACTCGCTTTTCAAGCTGTTCAGAAAAAAAGAAAAGCCATGATGGAAGAAAGTTGAAAAAATCGAACAAAAGGTTGTGAGATGGGGCGTTATTCAGCCTGTTGGATAAAATAAAAAAAAAAAAAAACACCAACAACCAACGCACACGATTCCTGTTATTCTAAGGAAATCATATGCCAGGACATTTTCCACATGACAGCTGGTACTTAGAGAAAGTCACCTTAGAAGGTCTTATATCTCGCATAAATAATGTCACTGAGTTTGTAAAAAGACAAACAACAGCAAGATAGCAAGAAAACTAGCACAGCTAGCAAAAAACTAGCACAGCTAGCAAGAAAACAAAGTTGCCAATATGCGTAATGCAAATTTGTTATTTAGTAACAGTGACAGTTTTTTCAGTTGTAGAGTTACACTCTGAAAGTTGTTCATGTAATTTGCTTGACCGGTCGCTCATGTACCATAAATCTGTTCTCATTTGACACTTTAGCATTTCCAGCTACACTAAATAAAAATCTAGTCATGCAATTTAACATGGCTTCTCCTAATTTGACATGATTTCTGCTAAATGCACTAAACCTGTTTTTCCATCACAGGACATAACAAAACATGTCAGTAACATCTCTTTTCTGTCCTGTGGGATAACTGTGCTTGTAGCCTGCATGTGTGTCTGTACAATGTTTGTGTGTGTGTGTTACAGCTGTAATCTGGGCCAGAATGTGAATACAGACTCAGTGTATGTGTGCTGCTTGCGTCAGCGCTCTGCCCATGTGAGTGCCCATCCATCAGAATCGTGCAATGTGCTCTATAGGAGCAGCGATCTCGCCCCAGGCTCTGGAACATACGCTATGTACTCAGCAGCGTTTTTCACATTACTGCCAGAGTGAATGAGAAAACAGGGAGTGAGAGAAAGGCAGAGAGAGAACGAGACGGAGGAAACTGCAGTATGACAGCATTAAATGTGAATTTTAATATTCTTTGTTGATTACGAATTCCTATTCATCCACAGCAGTCCAGCCTTTTCCTCAAGACTAGTGACTTGAAAGATCATGCGTTCAAATCCCAGGACTGTCAGCTTGAGCAAGACCTCTAAACCTTAGATTGGACTTCACTTGTAAGGTGCTTTGGATAAAAACGTCTTAATGGATTTGCAGGGGCTCCAGAGTAGCGTCACATGCTAAACGCCTGCTCCATATCAAAGCTCAATCGAGTATAATTTCACTTCTGTCTGGGTGAGACGGTTGAACTTCCAGTCTCTCCTGTCAATCAGAGCGACAGCCAATCACAGGCATCCATTACTTCATTTAGACAGAATGCATCAGTTAGCAGCTATCATATTATGTTTCATAAGCCACAGTTTGAAAAGATATCGAACGATAGATTCAACAGACTCCATAATAAAGTAGGTTATTCGTCATAAAATTACACGAGGTGCAACAGACATTTAAACTTAATCAAACCCATGCTTCCTGCTCTGAAAAAGTAACTTCCTCTTTATCTCAAATCCAGAGAGGCTAAAGGGGTTTAAAAAGGTATGCTTCTTCTAATGACGCTGTTAGGCAAGTGGCTAGTGTGCTAGAGTATTAGTTTGTAAAAATACAGCTAGGGTCAGCAGCAAGCTGGAACTGGAATATTCCTTTAAATCTTTAAGGTCTGGTCTATGGGAGCATTTTGGCTTAGCATACACAGGCGCTAAGGCCACAAACACGTCCACGCCTCTGCACCAACATCGCTCTTTTGTGTCAGTCAGTGGAAGTAGACGAAAACACGAATCAACACACACACACACACACACACACACACACACAGAGCAAAGTCTCTCTGCTGCATTCAGGCAACATTTCCATAATGTTGCGTAATGGATCAGGCAATCCTACACTTGTTCAATTTTTGTACTTGAGTTTCAATTTTTGCACTTGAATATTTTAATCAGCTGAAAGTGAAAACATATTCAGGCAATGCTTATTTTTGCTGTGTCATAAAAATATACTGAGACACCACCATACTGTAATGTAATGGAACTGAATTTTGAATCTTGTGTATTGTTACACCCCGATGGGAATTGTTTGTGAATTGAAAGATGTTGGGGTGATAAAAAACTTCATATTAAAAAGCCAAATGATTAGAAGTAAAATGAAATATACACCCTCAAGGAATGAAATGAATTTCTGTCCTACAGCGCCGAGCCACTACAGTGAACTGATCATGATTCTGATTGATCTGGACTTCACAGCAAATCCGACCAATGACGGATGATCCGAGGATCTAAAGACGGATCAAAGCTTTCCATACTGACTGATCAAACCTGATTCCTGCTCATTTTTTTTTACTGAGAGGTGAGGTGATGCAGGGACTAGAGAGAGGAAAAAAGAAGTGAGAAAATAAAATAATATTTGACAGGGAAACAGAAGGGAAGTGGGGAAAAAGAAAAGATAAGGCTAGAGG